GCTCACTGGCTGAGCGAGGTGCGGGAGCGACACCGAGGGTTGCGATCCCGTTGCCGGTCCCGGTCCGGTACGGGCGCGACACTGAGGGTTGCGATCCGTTGCCGGACACAAAAAAAGACAAAAAGGAAAAAAAAAAAAAGGACACCAACAGGAAAGTAAAAAGACAAGCCACAGACTGGGAAAAAAGATTTGCAAATCATATATCTGATAAGGAACTTATATCTACATAAAGAACTCTCACACTCAATAATTTTAAAAAATGACAAAGGATTTAAACAGACATTTCTCCAAAAAAGACAAACGGCCAGTAAGCACATGAAAAGATACTCAACATCATTTTTTGGGGGGCCTTTTTGTGACCGGCCGCACCGTGCTCAGCCAGTGAGGGCATCGCACCAGCCATCCCTATATAGGATCCGAACCCGCGGCAGGAGCGCTGCTGCGCTCCCAGCACCACTCTCCCAAGTGCGCCACGGGCTCGGCCCATCAACATCATTATTTATCAGGGAAATGCAAATCACAACCACAAAGAAATACCACACCACACCCACTGAGATGGTTATAATCAAAAGCCAGATAATCACAAGTGTCAGTGAGGATGCAGGGAAACTGGAACCCTCATACGCTACTGGTAGAAATATAAAATGGGGCAGACACTTTGGAAAACAGTCTGACTGTTTCTCAAATGGTTAAACATATAGAATGGTTATTATCAAAATGACAGAATATGCATGCTGGCAAGGATGAAGAGAAAAGAGAACTCTCCTACATTGTTGGTAGGAATGTGAATTGGTACAGCCATTATGGAAAACAGTATAGAGGTTCCTCAAAAACTAAAAATAGAACTACCTTATAACCCAGCAATTCCACTACTGGGTATACTCATACACCCAAAGGAAAAAAAATCAACATATCAAAGAAACACCTGCACTCCCATGTTCACTGCAGTACTATTCACAATAGCCAAGAAATGGAATCAACCTAAATGTCCACCAACAGATGAATGGATTTTTTTTTTAATGTGGTATATACACACAATGGAACACTATTCAGCTATTAAAAAAAAAAAAAAAGAAAGAAATCCTGTCATTTGCAGCAACATGCATGGAACTGGAGTCCATCATGTTAACTGAAATAACTCAGGCAAGACAAATACCCAATGATCTCACTCATATGTGAAATGTAAAAAAAAAAAAAAAAAAAGGAAAAAGGTGGTTCTTATAGAAGTAGAGAGTTACAATAATACTTACCAAAGGTTGGGAATGGAAGGGTGGTGGCAGGGAGGGGAAGAGATGAATTAATGGGTACAAAGTTACAGGCAGATAGGATGAATAAGTTCTGATGCTGTAGGCTGACTATAGCTACCAATATTATAGTGTATATTTCTAAATAGGTAGAAAAGAGGATCTTGACTATAATCGCCACAAAGAAAAGACAAATGTTTAGGTAGTGGACATGCTATCAACCCTCAGTGAATCATTACACAATATATGCATGCACTGAAACTACACGC